ACAACAAGAAGACGCGCATCATCCCGCGCCACCTGCAGCTGGCCATCCGCAACGACGAGGAGCTCAACAAGCTGCTGGGCAAGGTGACGATCGCGCAGGGCGGCGTCCTGCCCAACATCCAGGCCGTGCTGCTGCCCAAGAAGACCGAGAGCCACCACAAGGCCAAGGGGAAGTAGACTTTCTGAGTTTACAACAGCCTTCTCGAACCAAAGGCTCTTTTCAGAGCCACCCACTGGATCATCAAAAGGAGCTGGGCTTCCAAATCGCTGGTGCGCTTAGTAAAGGCGGTGGGTGGAAAGGGAGTTGGTAGATGCTGCATGTCCAGAACGAGTTTTGTGTTATTAGGTCAATTAAGTGCCAGTGCCACTTTTAAGTGGTAGGCAGGCATTGTGACTGGCTCTTTCCCGTTATCGGTCTCTCACAGTCCTGCCTTCCATGATACTGGAGATCCCCACCCACCAACCTTAACTCACCTCTGAACACCAAGTGGTCACCTCTGAGAGAAGCCTTCACTTCACCTACATATGCATCAACTGATACTCACTTTTCCCTGGTGAGTAGTGGGGAAGTTTGTGACATTAGCCCACTGGGATACATTTGATTTTTGTGCCTAAAGGTTTCTATTTCCTATATTTAAATTTATTTCCTATATTTAAATTTCAACAGTAATTACAGTTAGTGCTGTAGTATACCATACTAGTGCAGCTAGTATTCCTTCCAAGGAAAGTGATCACGCCAAACAAGAAAAAAAATTTTTATCCTTTTCTTTCAAACTTAATTTTTATTTCACATTGCAAAAACTAAATCCTGATTTCACAAGTCACATTTTTTGTTTCTCTTAAAAAGTAATTACAATATTTGAGCTTTTAGATTTTAAATACTTTCTTAGAAATATCAAGAAAAAATATATAGTTCCACGGAAAGCTTATGAATTCAGTTTTTAATAAGATGTTAATAATGATGCAATTGCTAACATTTGCTTTATTCTCTTCCTATTCCTTGCAAGAGCCAGCATACTGTTGAAGTCTTGACATTGTGATTATTCATATGGTTTTGATTGATTTATTCAACGGACCCATCAGGAAAAATCAAAAAATGTATGTAAATTTTTAAGTGACATTGTTTGAGTCCACTTGTTCACTGAGCATTTCAAGTGACTTTCTCCAAACTCTATGAAGTTTGTGCCTACTTTTACTTAATACATGAAGGTGAACCAGCTGCATAATCCGAAAATTAATACTTGTTTTTAAATATGGAGACAAATCTTTCAAATAAAATTGATACATATATTTAGATATTTATAATTGTTAGGTCTTGGGAAAAAATTAGAACATCATACTTTATACCATAAAATTATTTTTGTAAGAAGTAAAGTTCAATTAATAGCAGGTTTATGAAAGCATTATTTAAATTGTTTATTTTATCCTCAGCAGACTGGACAACTGTGAAAACACCTCACAGTGTCTTCCTGTATGCGATTTGTTGTAGCTCTTTATTTTAGAGTCCCTTAGAGTGAAGACTGTGTTTTATTTTATTCATATTTGCATCTCCTGACACCCTAGATTATGAAAAGTCTAAATATTTGTTCAAAAAAAATTTCTAATTTCGTAATAATAAAACCCTTGTGATATAAAAAGCAAAAAAAGTAGACATTTAAATGAAGATGAGAGTGCCTAGAAGAAAATGTAAGCATTATTAAAGGAGAAAGGTCACGTCATGCTGTTAGTTTACGGAGAAAAGCAGTTGATTTGAATGACTTCATTGATGTGTTCCTTTTCTCTTCCAATCTGCCATCAGTTTCACATTGACATAAAGAGAACCAACTAATGCTAATGAGTACTAGTCACCTGGTGGACTAATGAAACAGTCTGAATAGTTTTGGGAACCAGTATTCTGGAGGAAGGCAGGGACTCTGGACCAGACTGGTGCAGGCAGTAAAGGCCAGGAAATAGCAGGTTCCCAACAGTACAGGTTTTCCAGGCTCCCTAGCTAGCAGTGCCTTTTCATTAAGTTGGGTTTTTTGGGTGTGGTTTTGTGTGTGTGTTTTAACCATTTCTCTTCTTCCAGTTGTTTATCTATGGTAATCATGTGAATTGTTTATGTGAAACTATTAGTTTTACTGGTGTGGTAGTAGTATATGAAGTTGAGGATTTTTTCTGGTACAGAGGGAACAGCAGTGAGTCCTTTTTTGTGATCATACTCTCTACCTTATATTTTTAGCTCTAATGATGCTGATTAGAAGTTGGTTCAAAATAGAGACCACTTGATAAAGGTGTACATGCAAATCAGAAATTTGCACAGAATAGGTAGCAGATGTTTAGCTTCTTTAGGTAAATAAATATTAAACTATTATTTTTTACCAAAAATAGATGCCAGGGCCCTCTCTCCCTGGTGGTGCAGAAGCTTAAGCCGCTTCAAGAGTTCAATCCCTGCCTGCCCCTGAGGTGACCACGCAGCACAGCAGACCTCTCCTGACCTGCTGGCTGCTCCCTCAGCAGTGTACTTCATCAGTCTGCCTGTTCTGCTCCCCACTGTCTCTCTGGTGGATCCTCTCATCACCCCTGCACCTCTGCCCTGTACCCCAGTTTTGTATACACAAATAAATCTTTAAAAAGATGTCAAAAATCTATTAATACATGTTAAAATTAATATGGACCTAGTGTTAATGAAACACAGTATATAGTAAACAAAGGGTAATTCATTAATATTGCTATCTATGTAATATAAAAATATATTTTAAAAGGATTCTATTAGTAAATTAGTAGCCATTCTGCATGGAATTTGCCAAAGTGGGTTATTTTGCGTGAATGCAATCAAAACCCATCCTACTCAGGAAAAGCTTGAATTGCCCCTTAAATACCTAAAAGAAATTAGAAAGGGGTGTCTTACCCAGAAAGAGACCTATTAAAGTAGCACTAACTTGCACATGAAAGACCAACAAGCAGGCCTCACTTGCAAGGCAGAAACTATGCCCCTTCTGGTGTTGGCCCTCTGCACCCTTGAAGTCCCAGGTCCCTACCCATCCTTATCTCAGTCGACATCAGCCTCAATGACCCAATTTACTCTGAGTCACATATGTTTGGGGCTTCCTTGCGAAAAAATTAAATACATTTCAACTTGTTAAGCAGTCTAAACCACCAACCAAAGAACTTAATCTTAGCCACTAGGCCACTTGGGCTTGTCCTAGCATCTATTTTTGGTAAAAAAAATACAGTTTAATATTTATTTACCTAAAGAAGCTAAACATCTGCTACCTATTCTGTGCAAGTTTCTGATTTGCATGTACATCTTTATCAAGTGGTCTCTATTTTGAATCAACATCTAATCAGCATCATTAGAGATAAAAATAGTAAGGTAGAGAGTATGATCGCAAAAAAGGACTCACTGCTGTTCCCTCTTTACCAGAAAAAACCCTAAAGAAAAAGGATAAACCTTTCTGCATCAGATCAGTAGAGATTTAAATTAAAACCTGTTTCACCTCTCACCTACATTTAAAACAAATAGAACAACCAATAACAGTACAATAGTTAGGAATTTTAAAGACCACAGGAATCAAAAGAATTTGAATATAATCCTGCATTGTTATATGAGATATACATATATTCAAAGATTAGTCCATTAGATATTGAGAGCCAAGTATTAGATTGCTAAAAATAAATATTTTAAAAATAGAAAGTGAATTTTACAGGCCTTTACAATTAATTTAATGCAATTATTATCAAAATCTCAAAGGAACGTTTCTCAAACTTAGTAATTCTAAACTGTACTCCAAAAAGGAGTCTTCTGAAAAAAGACTAGGAAATGTTGGTACAACAAGTAAGATCTGCAGGACTAAATCGTGAATTCTAATGCAAGTGCAATTAAAATTTCTGATGGCATTAAAAATAGAGAAGGGGAGAAAAAAAATGTCCCTCTACCTTTTAGGTTCTGCGACTGACAACCCCGATAATAAAATCAACAACAACGACAAACAGCTTAATGACATGTATAGCTCACGTACACTAGGCAGATACCCAGGAGAACTCAGTAATTAATGCAGCCCCGAAATGACCGTCACCACCCTAAATACCACCTACATCTAAAGACAAAGTGGACCAGGGAGGGCGGCGGAGTCACAGCAGGCAGCCAGAAAGGCACAGACCAGGCGCAGTTCTGCAGGTTTATGATGTTCCTCATCTCCACGCATAAGCCTCAGGGGAGTCGGCCTGCCCCTCCCGCACGCCAGGCAGACACCCCTGGGAACAGCCCACCTTCAGGATGGGGCGTCCCCTCGAGGGCAAGGCGCGGCCGCCGGCCAGCTCCTCCCGGGTCCTCCTCTTCCCAGAACGGGTCAGCTCCCCATAGTCCACAGCAGAGACGCGAGCGCGGGGCGTCTGGGGGCGCCTGGCACACCTGCTCCCCTTCAGTAGACAAGTCGGCAGAACACGCCCGCCGAGGGAACAGGCGAACGTTGGCGCCACCGAAAAATCAAAATCCGGCCGTTCAGGGTTTGGTTCCCCAACGTGCGTCCCCGTGCGCGCCCGCGGGGACTGTCGGGAACGCGCAGCCCGCGGCCCCTTCCTTTCCGGGAGGCGACGCCGCCGCGCCGCGCCGCGCCCCCTCCGCGCGGCCTTCCCGCCTCCTTCCTGCCGGTTCTCAACGCGGTCCGCCAGAGCACTATAAAGAGCGGCGCGTGGCGCGCGGCAAGCGGCAGTGTGAGCAGGCCGGGCGGCGTGAGCATGTCTGGTCGCGGCAAGGGCGGGAAGGGCCTGGGCAAGGGCGGCGCCAAGCGCCACCGCAAGGTGCTGCGCGACAACATCCAGGGCATCACCAAGCCCGCCATCCGCCGCCTGGCGCGGCGCGGCGGCGTCAAGCGCATCTCGGGGCTCATCTACGAGGAGACGCGCGGGGTGCTCAAGGTCTTCCTGGAGAACGTGATCCGCGACGCCGTCACCTACACCGAGCACGCCAAGCGCAAGACGGTCACGGCCATGGACGTGGTGTACGCGCTCAAGCGCCAGGGCCGCACGCTCTACGGCTTCGGCGGCTGAGGACCGCTGTTCTCTGCCCCTTACACCCAACGGCCCTTTTCAGGGCTCCAAGTTCTCACGTAAGGAGCCGTGATGCCTTACGTAGGTTCGGTGTTGCAGAGCGAGTGTCGCTAGAGATCGCCGCGGTAGTGGCTTTGCGCCACTTCCAGCTGGACAGGCTAAAAGTGTTACTGCCCGTAAGTTTTGTTAGTCTGCAGGAAGTGCTTGTGCTGGACTGAATTGCTAATTACGGCAAAAGACAGTCACCGCGGATATTTTGCCATCAAACCGGAGTTTCTTGAAGGTTCATATTTTAGGGTCTTTGTTCTCCATAAGCCAAGTGTGACGTCACTGGGGTGCTGTGTAACTGCAGCCATGAACTGCTCCTGACCTCACTAGAAGTGTTGAGAGGTTTTATTTCGGTAAGATGGTTTGTGGTTTTCACACACATCCATCCATTTTCATTTTTGTGTGTGGGTGTTTTTTTTTTTTTTTTGTATTTTTGTGCATTTGCGGCCCACTCTCAGGTATAGTCCCTGTACAACTTTGCCACCGTGCACCTCTCCATAATCCTCGTGACCCAACCTACCTGCGGAACATTTATGATTATGACTTTTTTGCGGAACAGGCAGATCGATGAAGTCCACTGCTGAGGGGAGCAGCGGGCAGGTCAGGAGAGGTCTGCCGCCATGTGGTCACCTCCGGGGCAGGCGGGAATCGAACTCATGTTGAAGTGGCTTTAGCTTCTCAGTGCTGTGCTTTAACCCGCTGCGCACCAGGGAGGGCCTTTTCCTGATTTTTTATTTTTTTCTGTCCCATACTTTTTCCTCTGATCTATTTTACTGAGCATAATCCCTTCCAACTCCATCCAAGGTACTGCAAGTGGCTTGGGTTTGATTGCTGAATTGCAGAACTATTTGCAGTAAATAAGCTATGGACACAACTGAAGTACTCCAAAATGCATGACTGGGTCAAGAAGATATGGTATACATGCTTATTGGAAGGGTCTTTATTTTTTTTACGAGATCCCTGTGATAGTAAGTATTTACTGATAAAAGTGTTTTGGGATTAAAAATGGAAATGGATGGATGTGTGTGCACTTACATTGAAATAGAGCAAAAGTCAAAATTTTTGGCTCATCTATGTAGTATATAGATATTTTTGACAGCTTTTCTTAAATTTTAATTTAAGCTACACTACATGAAAAAAGTGTTTTTAATTAATGAAAATTCAGATCTGGCACCACTGAGGCATGTATACTTTAGACATAAGAACAATCTGTTCAGGGTGTAAAAAAACCTAAAATTAAAAATCCCTCACCACATAAACGTCCTCTTTTAAAGTTTTATCCCAAAGTGATGCAAAGTGGTAAAAAATTTTAAGGTCAGTTATTGCAATCAGATGTCTTGGGATGATCAAACCTCATCATTTTCAAGTTGTGAATACAGGTTATGTTACGAATTGTTTCCAAGTCTATTTCTCCAGTTGTCTGGGTGATGATAACCTAGCTCAAAGGGTTTTTGTGAAGCCAAATGAATTGATAAATTGATGAAAGACCAGCACGTGACTCAAAAGAAAAACAACACTTTTATTAATCTATGCTTCACCCCTAATTACCTCTGATTGTGATCCCTTGTGTGTGAGCAACTCATTATAAGCAACCACTTTTTAGTCCAGAAAAGCAAATACCTGTTTGTCTAGACTGGGAGTTTCTCTGATCTCCTAAGTAGCCATGGGAAATATCCTACTGGAACTATATTACTCACATGGCTTTTACAAGTGGAGATAGTAATTTATCTTACAGGGTCACATCTGTATGTAAGTGAAGGAGGAGCCTTAGCTTACTGACATGGTGCTGTGGTTTTTGCCTTTTCCTTAGTTCCATGTTCTTACTAATTTTCCATTAATCTCATCTCCTTTTCTGAATATTATAGAATTTAAATGCCTCACAGAAACCCAGACATCATGTGGCTCAGACATTTGTCTTATTTTCAGTACTCAAAAATTAAAGTGTTTTTATTTGTGTAAATACCTATAACTGATTCTTTCCCCAGGCCAATTAAATTGGAATATCTGGATTTGGATCACCTCAAATATGACCCATTAACTCTTCCCGTTTATGCTGGTCTCAGACTTTTTCAGAGGTGGGGGGACGGGTGGAGGTTGCTCATCTGAGAACAGCTTTGGGAGCTGGCCTGAAGAGGGAATGGTTACTTAAAGACCAAGTGGGTTTGGAGCTATGAGAGGCCTCGGGGGCTGAAGGAAGTAACCTGCACACATATCCAAAGGCAGACTCATACTTACTAGACTCAAGCACAGATGTGGGGCAAGTACATTGGGAGTACACATTCATGGGGGCTTCAATTGGGGGGGGATATAAACTGGGTGCAGTGACCAGGGGCCTGCAAGGTCCACTGTTCATACAGATCAAAGCATATTAGCTCTTTTCTTACCTAACTTTCTGCCAGTCTATTTAACTGACTTTGCTAATCTGGTCACAATATCTGCCTGTTGTTTTCATCAAATACTGGCTTCCCAGTGTGTTTTTCATACCAGGAGTTTTGTCCTGGTGAGAAGCTTCCTGCCTGATTGCCTAGCTGACTTGCAGGAACTCAGTGAACCAAAACAATATTCAGAGAAAAAGGAGAGCCAGGGATCCCATAGGGGTCCGGAGACGGGAGAGGGAAGCTCAATGTTTTAATACCATCTTCTTAGCTGTTTTTTTAAAAGAATTTATGTATTTATGCATACAGAACTGGGGTACAAGGGTGGTGAGAGGATTCACAAGAGACAGCTGGGAGTACAGTAGGCAGATCAACCAAGTGCCCTGCTGAGGGAAGCAGCAGGCGAGATAGGGGAGGTCCACTCCTGGATCACTGCTGGGGCTCAAACTCTCATTGTGGGGCTGTGGCTAGCCTGCTGTGCCATGCCCCAACCTATTGTGCCACTAGAGAAGGCCCCATCTTAGCAATTTTTTTTTTAAGGATTTATTTATTCATATCCCAGCTTAGCAATTTTAAACAAGAGAATACACTCAAAGACTGCAGAACTCTCAGCCACATAGCTCTGACCCACATTACAGAACAAGAGATAAATTAATCTTTGTTGCGGTGGGAGGTTATATGTCCTCTCCATTGGTTTTGTTCACCAATGACCTTGTCCAAAAGTTTATTTATGTTTCTTGGGCAAAATACAATGCGGTCATAGTGAATAATCCATCCAAGCCATAGACCGAATGCACCATGAGTCCCAGCTATATTTATCACAAATATTTAGTACCACATGTATTCATGCATAATGTCCAGGTATATAACTAATGCCTTGTAAATATTACATTTCTTAGCTCTTTATTCCTTTACATGCATAGTTGTTCTGCAAAATATCTATCTATACTTAGCACATCTTGTGTTTTTTCCTTGTTTGAATTAAATCATATAAGAAACAAATACTTCAAGATGTTCAGGAAACTAAAATCAAGGATTTCATGAAATATAATCAGATACTTAAACAGGTATTTTATAAGAGTGTTTAACTTATCTGTGTTCTACTCGATGTATTGTAATGATAAAGTTATGAGAAGGAATAAAGACTGATTTATTTTAAAGAGGGTAAATTAGCTTGAAACCTATGCTGATAACCACCTTCCTATTAGGGCATTTTGTATATAATCCAGTCACTCTTTGTTTTGTAGACAGGAACAATTACTATGTTCCTGTTCTATAGTCTTTTTTTTGTTGTTGTTGTTCCTGACAATTTGTTGCAATTTCATTAATGGACTATTTTTCTAAAAACTGAGGAATCGGTTTGAAAAAGGAAGTGAAAGTAATAGGACACTTTTACTAGGGAACTCAAACAACTGACTCTGCTTACATTCTGCCCTAAGTGGTTCTATTTTGTTGATCGGAGGGTGAGCAGGCTGTTTCTATTGTATTATGACTTGGACAATCTTAAATTGCCCTTACTTCAATTGTGGAGTCTAAAGTGGATGACACATTTTTATTGAAATTCTTTACAATTTTCTGATGAGTTTGATTTGTATTATGTCTTTGATTTGTATTTTGTAGCAGGGATCTTTAGGAATGAGTGTGTGAAAAACACTTGTTGATGGCACGAATGATTTATTTAGTGGGTCACCCCACATTCCAGTATGGAGTAGGACAGAGGCCTCTAGTTATGGTACTCTGAGCAGTGACAACATTGACAAATTTTAAAGATCCATCTGATGCATCCATTTTTGCCAAGTAACAAAGGGTATTTATAACAAGAAACAAAATCTGTTGGCAGTTTTTTAAAAAGATTATAGATATACTCTATCCAACATAAAAAGTATAATTGTTAAACATACCCCTGCCCTCTGCCAAAGAGTGGGGTGATGGTCTTTCAGACACATGCCTACCACGCTCCTCAATATGTTGACAAACTACTTTCAGTATGTTTCCTTTTATTGACCAAGGAACCAAGGCTGGCTAGCTTCCAGTGTGTTTCATTATTCAAAATTAGGTCCCTGGATTTAGAAAAGATAATCTCAAAATTCTTGTGAATGTTTCAATACTGCAAGCTAATGAATGAATATAACCCATAGCTTTCTTAAGGTAAATAACTAAAGTATTATGAAATAAGATTTTTTTAAAAGATTTATTTATGGGAATGCAAACTAGTACAACCACTATGGAAAACTGTTTGGAGGTTCCTCAAACTGCTAAACATGGAGCTTCTCTATGACCCAGCAATCCCA